TGAACACTAAATGGTTCTTGATAGTGCTGACTTTGCCGTGGTCTGCATGAAAGGGACTCGTGTATGAATTCGGTTCCTGTTTGATTGATAGCCATGGTACAGAAGTATCTTTCTTAACCATTTCTTTGGAGAGTCTGTTGCTCTTTACTATCTTTTCTTTTTTGAAAACTATTAAAGAATACTGAAGAAGCTTTTGTAGCTGTTAGTCGAGTTGTGGTTGGTATGTATGTAAACTGCAAGCTCCACGCTCTTCAGCTTCCATGATCAGTGAATGATTTAGAATCAGATTTTTATATGGCATCTTCAGGCACGACTTCCTTTGACCTCAGGCATTAGAGAGTTACTGTCATTCCATTTTCTTCCTTCCTGTGTTTCTTCCTTTGTTGCCTGAAGACTCCTTTTGGAGGCATTATTGATAGAACAGTGGTGTGAGGGGGCAGTCCTGACAACACGTGGATTTACCTTAAGTGGTTATAATTTCACAAGCTAACCCATACGTACCAGGAATTTTGAGAAATTTTCTCGGACAACCAAAGCCCAAGGCTGACAGTCTTGGCAGAAAGCAGGGCTTTCATACTTACTGTTGGTGAAAAAGTTTGATGAACTACAGTGTTTTCTACTTTAGTGAAATAGGCAATGGGTCTATTTTAGCTGTTTGCTTTGTGGGCTTTGAAACAATTCCAACTTTTGCACAGCACATATTTTTTTATTCTTAAATAGTGCTAAACCAACTTGCAGTCTCAAAAGCTCCCAGGTGTAATCACAAGCTGAACTGTCTTCTAGCTAGCAAGGTGGCTCTCTAGGGTCTCCTTATCCTGGTCAATCTTCAGGTAGCTGCACCAAGGAAAATAATTTCTCACATTTACAATACAAATGGACAAAGAAGTATAACCCATAGCACAAGCACGAGTCCCCCGGATCCAGGGTGCTCTGGCCTTCTGCCAGTCTCATTCCAGTTTTTAGCGCACTTCCTCCACATGGGTTTTTTTGTCAAAAGCAATCCTTAATGATGAGGCAGTATCAAAGAAGTAAAACAATATGATTTAACTCTGATCTAGTTATCTAGCTTACTTCGTTATCTAAAGACTTGAATGATGCTACAAAAATTAACTGTGAGCAGGGTAAGAATTCAGCCTCAGATATTGATCATTTAACAGGTAATAGAGAATACTTCTTTTATTTTTATAGTTTCTCACCCAAAGAACAATTATTCCTCAAGAACACCATGTAGTTCGGTGCTGTCTTCATTGACCTCGCATGCAACAACTGGCAAACAAAATACACACACTCGGAAGTCCTCTAGCAATGCCAAGAACTCTGATAATAAAACAGCCAGCACTACTAAAGTACAAAGTCATCATTCTTCCAATCCTACAGAATCTTCTCCCCAGGGAATTCCAACAAATAAGCAGGTAAGAAACCAGCTATAAACTGAACTAAATGGTGTCAAAAATATCAGGACAACTTTCATTATTGAAAGTTTTCACTGCAAAATCAAGTACTTGTTTTTAGTCCAAATTTAATTCACAATTTTAAAAAACGTGGAAAGGTTTACAGGCTACTTAATGCCATAGATCAGTCTTTGTGTTATATCAAAACTATTTCAATACTATTTTCTCTCTCTAGTTACACTGATAATGATTTTCTGCAATTTTTGTTAATTCCAGTGGCTGTATTTTATTTCTGGAAGAATTCAGATAGCCTAACAATTATCCAATTTCTTTCTGGGTAGAATGGGCCTTCTAGTCAAAGACGAAGATTCAACCCACAGCACCAAAACGTCCGTCTCAATGGATCTCTTAAGCCACAAGGTGCCACTAACGAGGCAGATCAAAATAATGTAAGGAGTGGCTCCAGGTCTGAGCACAGAAGACAGCAGCACAACAATTTCAGACCTAAAAATAAAGGAGCTATGAAAAATCAGGAGTCTGCAACTGCAAGGACCACAGAGAATGTGACGCATCCAGAAAAGAGCCGGCGGAAGCATCATGCAGCAGACACCACAGATCACAGGCCTTTCCGAGGCGGTGTCGGCAGGGTGTCGCAATGCAATTTGTGCCCTGCAAGAATGGAGGTCTCTGCTGATACCACTGTTCTTTCAGTGCCAGCTGTGACTTTGGTGGCTTAAAATGTCACAGTGAAGGCAGGCAGAAAAATATTCTCATTTTATCTTCTTCCTCAAGATGCTTGTTGGTGAAGAAAATAAATCGGAACAGTCTTTTTAAATCTGTTGCTGCTTAAAAGTTATTGGTATCTTCATTATTTACTAATTATCAAAATTAATGATACTTTCAAAGCTTTGCCCAATATGTTCACAGTTGTTTTGTCGTGACAATACAGAATCTTACCAAAGCAGCATATACTACTTAGAAGAATGAAATTAGATTGGAAAAATAAACTCAGAATTAAATTCACAATAGCAAAAGGTTTGTTGTAGATATGTGGTTATGCAATCAACAGTATTGTTCTTTAGAGCAGCCTGTGTTAGAAAGATCCCAGAGCACCTCTGTGCTGTGGTCTGCAATGCAATCAGATAATCTTTTAGAATTTTTCTGCAGTCTTTATTATACACCTCTTTATTTCTGTGCATGTATCTGTATGTGCATGTGTACACACACATACATACATACACATGCATGCACACTGTGTGCACACAGTATTGTTACATACAAGAACATTTCAAAAAGCAGCACATTTGATTTTAGCTTGTTATTCCATAAACTGAGATCTTTAGACTTGCCTATAAATTGTACTGAATGTATTACATATTGGTATTTTTCATTGACAAACTATTTTTATGAAAATGCTCATTTCGTTCAAGTTTAGAGTATGGTTAGAGTATATATAGTCATGGCTATTCAGATGCACAGCCCTATTCTCCATCCTTATCAGCCATTTTTCTATGACTAGTTGGATTTATTTTTTTGCATATGAAAAGTCACAGGTGTTCTAGACTTGAATCCAGATTATTTTTCTATATTTTTTGCTCTAGGAACCATCTGTCCTTAATGAGAGCTATGACTAATAAACTTGTTACAGCAACGTGCAGCAGAATATGGAGATACATATTTGGGCAGATACTACATCCTTGTGAGTTTTCTATTAAAATAAAATCTTAGTGTTAATGTTCTGATTATGTATTTCAGAAAACTTGTTTCTTCCAAAAAAATTAAAATCTTCTTTCTAAAACATTCTGTTGTTTGCTGCCTTGCAGTATCTAACCAGATGTGATCATCTTCGAACTAGATTTGCTTAGTTCAGCTGGTGTCAGTGGGAGGCTTTGGTTTGAGTTTGGCTTGGAGTAGGCTTTTGCTTTTGGCTAAATTCCAATGCCACAAGTGCACAGGACAGCACCTTCCCATCAAGAGCTAATCTTGGACAAACCTATGTTAAAAGTTGTTATTGAAAATATTAAGGTATCAGAATAATCGGTAAAGAATCCAGACCTGACATCAAGTGAACTAGAGGCCTGGGGGTCAGAATCAGAGAAGTGTAACAGGGTCTCTTTCCCACTGAGGTCAGTAAGAGCTGGGCACTTTGAACGTTTATTGTTGGTTATGGCTTTTTACCACTTACCTCTGCCTAATTTCCGTGAGCTGACTACACACTTTCTTTGTACTGAATTCCACTTTTGATTCATAAAGTATAAAGTGCATTGCCTATGAAGGATTTTGATTATTGCTCTTGATATCTGTACAGTTTTCTACATGTGAATGATGGTAAAACCTGATTTTACAAGGCAAGTAGCTCATCTTCTTCTGGAATAGTGGTGATAAAATAAGTATTCATAGGTAAACATAGGCTTTTTGTAGCATTGTGAACCCTTCTCCTATCAGGCTTTTAGGCTGAACGTTTTAAGTAAATGGAGCTGAAATTCCAGAATCTCTGTGCTGTGCACACCCACCAGAAAAGTCTATTTTCAGAATTTGCCATACTGCCATACTGTAACTTCACAGTTAGAGATGTAATCACAGTATCTGTATGAGTATTACCCCAAAACAATATTATATTGCTTTTACACAATTTCTGAAAGTTATTTATACCTTTTCTTGTATTCCCTCCTAATAATATCTGATGTGTCTATAATGACTTTTACTCCTGCCTTATAGCTTTTCCACTTAACAGGATTATTGAAAGAAGTTATTTTATTCTACAAGTCAGCTTCCTTACAAGCAGGCTTCCTCAAAACAAGTCAAATCTAACATAAATCATAACTCGGCACAACAGGACAACCTTGTGCTCTTCAGTACCAGCTTCTCTTTGCTGTGCTGGAGGCTTAGTACATGACAGATCAGAACTAACAGGTGAGAGGAAGCATTTATCCTTAGGCTGTGAGGCAAACACACATTCTTGGATGAGAGATAAAAGTGTGGATTTGGCTGGTTCTGGGGACTCTGCAGTCTTGATGCAGCAAATGTGCTTTGGTATTGCAGTGCACATTGTAACTGTTACATGGCTGGCTCTGAAACATCTCTGTGTCAGAATGGTATCCCTTTATCTTTTTATGTTTCTGCTAGAATTTTATTTGCCGTTTTCCTGGCTTGCTTTACTACTCACTGTACATGGAATTATTTAATTAATCAGAACTTTCTATTTTCAAATTATAGATCTAGCTATGTGTGATACGTTCAACGTACAGGTTTTGTACAGGGGTCAGTGAGAGAATTAAGGGCTGTACAAGCCTTGGCTTTAAGGCCAGCAAGTCTTTTTAGAGAAAAATAGTTCCCCCTAATTTGCAAAACAAGTACAGGTTTTTTTGCATCATTGAAATGTGGAATTTCCACTATTTTGAAAGTAGATACACATCCTGAGGTCTGGTATTTTAAAACAGGTTCAATCTTTTTGTCTTCTGTGTACAATCAAATTGAGATTAATGTCAGAACTCAGCAAAGCAAAGGACCAGATATATAGAGATATATAGCTGAAAACTAGAAAGATAATGTAATTTAATATAGCCAAGCTATATTAAGCAAAACTTGAAAAAAAATTAAGATGTTTGAAAAAAAAAAAATCATTTAAACTACTTAAAGTCATTGGAAATGTTGCTCTAGAACTGAAACTAGTAATTTTGGAAAGGATAAGTTTGTAGTCTAGTTTGTATATTCCTTTCCTGGATCCTGCTGCTGTAGGAAAGCAACGTGGTCTGAGCTTGGATGGATGGATGGCGTTTCCTGTGGTGAGTCTGTTTCCCGTGCAGTGACTGGGATGTATCAAAAGCAACTAAATAACCTGTACTAGAAATGTTTGTGGATGTTGTACCAGAAAGTAGGATGAGCTAAGAGATGCACATAGGAAAGGGACGACTTTGAAAACGGTCTAATTATTGATGCGTGTGGTCCAGTGAATTTGCAAAGTATTACTCAGCTAAGTGATAAATGCTGTATAAGCAGGAAGATTTTATTTATTTATTTATTTATTTATTCCTGCAAAAGTAGCATTCTGTAGAAAGTACTCAGAAACTCAGAAAAGAGCAGAGGTCTGTAACACCAGCTGTGTCTGTTTCTGCTGCTTGACATTCTGCTAAAAGCTGTTGCCCAGAATGATCCTAGATCTCTCGGGGGCTTTTCCTCCACATATTTACAGAGCTTTACTTCTAGCCACACTCTCACTCTAATTGCAGCTATGGAATAGACAGCTTCACTCTCAAGTTTTCCATGATACAGCTTGCCTCCCGTTGTTGCTAAGTGAGAATTTGTCCTTCACAGATTGAGAATTAAACAGACAAAATCATCTCCTGGATAATGCTGCCATTTCCGTTTGGTCATACTAAGACTTGTACTACGTAATGTTTATTATCTGAACATTTAAGTGGGTTTAAAGAAGTGAATGAACAGCTTGAAAGAAGGAAAGAGGTAGCTTCCTTAGGAGCAGTCAGTGTGTTTACAGTCAATACTGTCTTGAGAGAATCATCAGTTGTTTTACTTGCAAGGAACTTGAGCTATATTTCATACAGAAGCATCTCTGAATTAATGCCTAGTTCATAGCTCATTTGATTGCGTTGTTTCCGTGGCTCTTAAGCTCAAAACAAGCCTGATGAAAAGTCTCTCTGAGAATCAGTGTTAACATGTGCCCCTAGCAGGTGAAATAACGTCTGCTTGGTTATGGCAAGTATGAGTTCTCCATATTCTAAAGCATACAGATAGAATTACATCTATTTGAAGCATATCCTGGTGATAATACGCACTTAATCATGGAGAAGTAATTTTCTGGAAATTAATTTGGAATTGCATTTTTCTACATTATGCCATATCATAGATGGTTTGGAAATAGTGTGAAAGTGAGGGCTAAACAACTGGAAAATTGACTGTGTTTGTGAGGGGAAAGAGAAAAGCATCAAAGTTCACTAGCGTGATGCACGTTACTCTTCAGAGCACAGCTATTAAATTGCTAGGGCAAAGAAACTTTCTAACTGTGGTCTCTTTTATAACAATCGTACAAAGATGCAAAACAAGCCATAATCACTTCAGTTGACTGTACCAGCTGGTAACTCTCTGAGTTGGATGAGTGAAACATTAAGAAAACTGTGGACTTTGAAGAAACTTGGGATCGTACAGATTTGAGGAAAGTTTAACCTGCAAGAAACTCTCAGACTTGCAGAATTTCTGCTCTTTGTTCCAGGCCTCAAAAGAACAGTCTGTTAGCCAGGTTAAGAGCTGACTAATCCTTGGATGGGCAAGTTTTCAGCTCTCTGCCTCCCAGGCAGAAGATTAAATGCTGTTTAATTTTACACTTTAAAAGGCTTTGGGTGGATATAGACAAAGCTGTAATAGTCATCTTGAAGGTTCAGCTCTTATAAAGCTGTTTAAAATCAGTCCATCCATTACAACAGACTGTTAACAAGCTTCACGGGGATTAAAAATAAAAAGACAAAAGTGCTTATTTAAAAAGCCATGTTTGTTTCTCATCCAATAAAAAAAATCAAGTCTCTAAACTTGCTCTACCTCCTCACCACAGCCACTTTCATTCACAATTTCATATGCTGAAATTAAAGGGAATGATTTTGTAATTTTTTTTTTAACTACAAGTCAGTGTGTCTAGGACAAAGATGAGACTGAAGCCACTGGAATGCAAATGATATGAATGTTATGTGAAAAATACTGTACTACCAGAATGACTAGACAAACCCTGAACTAGCACAGGCTTAGGAAGTCCAAAGGGATCAGTCTTAGTCTTATCTGCAAGAATCCAGACTTGTGAGCTTTTGTATGATGTTGAAAGAAGCCTACAAATTCACCCAAAGTTGAAGAGGAATCATTGTAAGAGGACCTAAATGGATAGAGTAAAGGGCTCAGCTGTTCAGTAAGTACTAAAATAAAAGTCACACACAAAGGAGTTATTTTAAAACTGCTTTTCAATCAGACTGGTATACATTGTGTCAATTAATTGCACGCTCAAATAATAAGTTTCATTTTAGTATCTCCCTTAATTTCTGCTTTTTCTGGTCTCAAGTGAATCTTTTCTGTGGGGTGGGGAGAACCTTGGCTTTTTTGTGGCTTTTTAGGCTTATTACAGTAGTTCAAGGATTTTAAAGATAGGCTGGTCTTTACTATACGTGTAAATAGCAGAAAATTGCAATACTGCTCAGCTTTACATAACTATAATTCGTGGCAAAACATCTCTTCAAACAGTATGTTAGTACCTGAAATTTTGCTGTTTCTCTTTTTTACTTTGCAAATGAAATTTCAAGTCCTTGCAGTTACGACAAAAAGCCTAAAAATGTGATTTCTTCTAAATAACCTAGAAAACAGAAGACTTAAAGAAGCAATTTGTAAGAATACTTCATTTTGGCAATGCGATAGGACTTGGCAACATCTAAAGCCAGGTGTATTTACTGTGTTGCAAAATTATTAGCAACAACAAAGCAGTACCCAGCCACACACAAACAATTGCACAAAATGAAGCCAAATGTGGGGAACTTAAACAGCATTGGTTTAAACAACCAACCAAGTCCAAAAGGACTTCTTAAAAAGTGAGCCAAATTCTGCTTTTCTTTGCTAGTAGAAACATACAGGAGCTCTTCAGTATCATTGCTCGTAATGCACCCTAGTACAAGGGAGGACAAGAAGGACAAGTAGGAAACTAGTGTACATATGTCTCGGGTCTAAGGAAAAACTGCCTTATTCCCTAGTCATGCTCTTCCTTCCTGTTTATCAATTTTCTGTGTACATGTAAAGATGGTCCCTTTAATTGCTACCAATAATAAAATGGTAACTTCTTCTCACTGCAAGTACCAGTATTTGTGCATTCAGCTTAAAATAAAATCTTTACAGTACTCCGTATATTGCACACTTGTGACAAATTTGAATCTAATAACTGGTATTCATTGTTACTATTTTTCCCCTACTTAAAATATATGGATTAAGGAAATTAACTGTAACTGAATTTGATAAGCTGTTGTCTTCTGTGCTGTGCATGTATTCCTTTTAAAAGGCCAGTAGTACAGCCTGCCACAAATATGAATGAGACACCATAATATTGAGCATGCTGTGTGTTTTAGGGTTTTTTTTAGCCATGTTTCCTCCTCCCAACTTCTAAAAAATACTTAGAAATAAAATCAGAAAATACACTTCATTTCTCCCTCTGCTCTTCACTAACTCTTCACTATCTCCACCGTGATTTCCTACCAAATCCTTGAATAACTAACAATATGAGATGATGAGCTGTTCTTAGGCCAGATGTTCCCAAGCTACACAGCCTGTCAGTCTGAGTCCAATGTTATCCATCCACTTTATTACTCTTAAGCTTGTTGCTCTCTGCTAACGCAGCTGGTTCTTTCTTGTTTAGCACTGTTGAAGTAGTAGGAATTTCAGCAGCAGCTTTGTCCTGTTTACTTGTTTTACTGGACACAGATGATGACTGAGAAGGTGTCATGAGAAACAGTGGAGTTCGCTTCAGCTTTACTGCACGGCTGCGTATGGGTTTTCTAGGCGCTGAGGTGTTGAAAGTCATTTGACATGATGCTTCATCATCAGCACTCTGCTTTCCATGGGGCACCTGGGAATTCCTGGGCTCTGGCTTGCATGCTGTGGACACAGAAGCTGCTTTGTGCAGTATCAAACTTTCACTATTTGGTCGTTTAAGAGTTACTGCAGGATGTGAAGTGTTGCAAGCAGCTACCTTTAATGAAGCTGAATTCTTGACTTTGATATGTGTACTTGTTGAAGGACCTGAGAATCTAATTGGCTTGGGGCCCACTTTGCATGGTATGTAGTCTTCCATTTCAGAGAAATCAATTAAGCGTCTGTAAAACAAAGGATCTTAATTGAAGAAACAAACTATGTATTTGAGTTATTTTTTGTATAGTTACAAAATCAGCAATGCACAAATCTACTGTTCTATTAATTTTTGCTGGTTATCACATATTGTTCTCAACTGTTGATCGCAGCAGTCAGGCTTGCCTTTGCATCAATAATACAGCAATCTCTTCTACCTCTGTAAGTCATGTTACATGCTAAAATTAGTAAGAAATGGTGCACAAACTGCTGTGTGAAAATGAGGAAGAAGGCAGGAGGAGTTACAGAAAGAAAATATTGAAGTACTACAGTTTTCACCAAACAGAAAATTGAGTAAAAGTTAATCAGATATGTTTTGAGTTATCTACCGAAGTGTCAAGACCCAATTGCAGAGAAACAAAATATTTATAGTTCTACATTATGTAATTTGAGAAAAGAAGAATATCCCTTTCTCCCTTCCCCCTCCCTTTCTAAATAATTAAAGATAACCCATTTTGCCTAAATAAATAAATAAATAAATAAAATCTGTGTAAGAAAGCCTGTGGAATCTCATGGCAACTCTAACTGTCTAAAGTAGAGAGTAATTTTTAAGTAACTCAGAGAACCATTAAAGAACAGAGTAAGGGACACTACTAAAGCACTAACATTCTTCAGGATGCTTGCATTTTGGATTTCAAAAGATTAAATGCCACAGGAATCCATATCAAGAGAGAAAAAATGTGAAAGTGTAATATTTCTTATCATTACTCTTAGAAAAGTGGTATATGGTGACACTTCAAGCAGAAAGCCTGCAAATAACCAAGTGCTCATAATGAAGCTAGGAAGGTTTTCCTCAGAGCTCTAAGGTAAGAATGTATTCTTGAAATCTGTACATCCTAGACCAAAAGAACCATTAGAACAAAAAGGAAAATTTAAGCATTCAAAGACTTGGTGTTTTAACAGCTGCAGTGTAGTACAGGTAAAATGTAATCAGTAACTAGATTAATTTACAATAATATTTCAAGATGATATATGCTCTCACAAGGATTACTGCAGGTAATTAATACAGCTCTTTGGGTACAGAAAAAATAGAGAAGACAAAGCAGAGAAATGGAAGATAAAAAGGCAAAGGTTGCAGTGGAGTATTCAGGAATATATGTGTTTGGCAGTCAGTCCAGTGGTCATGCTTCTTCCTTAATGAGCTATGAAAAGCAAAGAATACAGTATCCCAAAATGATGGGGAGATGGGGATTTTCAGTTGGATCACTGTGCTGTTATGGTTCTGTGGCTGCTGCTGAAATGACAGCATGGCCAGAGAGACAAGGTAAGCAGGATCCTCCTCCTTAGATATCAGGAAGATGCTGTTGAGTGGCTCAGATAACTGTAGATGCATCTGTGAATGCTGCTTTTAGGTAATGTATTGCAAATGGAAGTGTTGTCAGAAGTATGACCACAGAACTGGAAAGAAAATATTCTAGTGTAAAAGTAGAGCATTTTAGAAACATGAAAATCACCTATCTTTTAAAATTTTCAATTAGCTAGTCCATTTAGCTAATGCTGTTCTCTACTTTTTGAAATGACTCATTTCCACCCTCACATGATGCTTTAAAGGCTGTAGAATAGAATTTCAGCAGCCTAGAAAAGGTAATTTCCTTATAGCAAGGTCAGTTCTGCTTATGAGCTCTCAGTGAATATATTACATGAAAATGTTAAGAGGAACAACTAAGAAAACTATTCAAAGAACCTGAAACTACACACACACACACACACACACACACACACACACAGTCTTTGTGCTGTTTTCCATTTCATGCTAAGCCACCTATGCAGGTGGCCATACCTTTTATGAACTGGAGGCATATGATGCAAACTGCCTTTCAGAGAACGCTCTTCAAGAGTCCAGCATTCGATGAGCTCCTGCGGCACTCTCCAGTAGCTGACACCTGCATTTCAAAGAGACATTGTATCACTGATTGTATCACTGAGCTGAGGGAACACAGTATTGCGTGTACTTCCCCCAGATTAAATGAATGCATGCATTTTATTGCGTAGAATTTCAGCTTTGAAACTATGCTGACAAGTAACCTGTGCTTACAGCCAGCATGCCTTTAGGGTTTCCACCAGAGTGCTCAGGGTCTCCATCACCTCTTGCATGCAATGGCTCTCACTACATCTATTCATGTATGTTAGCTCACATCTGCTCATTAGACCATCAACCAAGACTTTTTGTGTTTTCCCTTCAAATAACCGCTCCAATGGAGTTTGTATGTGTCACATACTGAATTAGTGGAAACACCCACGGATTTTATTATTGTATAATTATTTGGCAAATTTTTTTTTCTGTAGAAAAATACTAAAATAGAAGTGAAGAATTAATACTGTACCTCTTCCTTCCCAGGTGCCGAAAGCATCCATCATCTTTTTCAGTTCAGCCTCAGAGTAATAGCTCCAGATGTATTGGACATTATTTCCAGCTTCTCTAGAAACATTGTTTGTAAGGTAACAGTTAAATGGTAAATCTACCTAGGATCCCAAAAATTTCACACCGATGAAATAGTGTTACAGCTATTATTCTTCTACCAAATTCCAACTATGAAAGGACCTAGAAGTAAATGTTTTGTAAAGTGGGTAAAAAAAGTTACTTAGATTTCATTGTCATTTCTGTCAGAGATCCAAATTGCCACTCCCTACTGTCTGCACACCTGTGAATGCCTGTTGCTGGAAAAGGTATTCAGGAAAGAACAGATGTCCATGAAAAACATAATTACAGAACTAATGGTGTAAAATTTATTCTTCTAACTATAAATCATATTTTCAAAGGGAAAACACAGTAGGAGGACAAATACCTGAATTACTATGTATCCAAAACATCTCAGAGTAGATAGTCATTTTCCCAGCCTAAATTTAGGAGAATATGTATCTTAATTATAAACATGATGCAATATCAAAAGCTCTAAATAATTTTTCAGAAGGTATACAGTGAATTACACTTCTGATTCTGTACTGTGGGACCAAGGGAAAGACAAACAGCTTCCAGGCACTTGGAAGTACTACAGGTCTACTAATATCTTAAAATTTCTACTGTAAAATGCATTCATATTTGTTGAAATGTACATATCCTTTAAAGAATTTAATAATTTCATCTTCAGAAAAGCTGCGTTAAATATTTTAAACTGCTGTCATAGCAAACTACAAAATAGAACCCCTTAAATCACTGCCAGCTTTGTGAATATTTGGGGGGATGTTTTCAGGATTCAGTGATGATTCTTGGTGTAAATATCACTGATAACTCTTGATGTAATTATCATCCTAAATTATAATATAATTTTAAATGGTTGAGACATTTAAAAAATAGCAACTGAGATCTTAGAGCAACTGCATGCCAGTGACCTTCTGTAGATCTCTTGAATTCTTTCCCGTTCTGCTTAGTCTTTATTTTGTTAAATCTGAATATTATATTAGCTGGGTGTTTTCAAAGCAGGAAATAATCTCATTCCTGCCAGTGATTTATAGTGTAATAATGCTATATTAGCCAAATAAAATAATACTTAGGTATTATTATGATATGTAAGTCTTCGTAGTCTTCCCATAGTGCTTTCATGAGTTTGAAAGTCAGCTTACCTTTTGTAGATGCTTTTACTGTGAATTTTTGTTCCTAGCTCCTTTTTAATTGCGTCAGTCCCATCAGCCCTTGTGGCATACACACCAATAATTTTACTCTCACAGCTTGCCCCAGAAGTGCCAAGATAGTGTAGGACCCAAACTGTAGGCTTGGTACAGATTAAATTATAAGAATCACAGAAATCCAGCAAAGCCTGGAAAAAAAAAAATAAAACAAAAAAGCAAAAATATTAATACTAATTAAGTCCAGTGTTATAAGCTTTCATTCTGAAATTTTCTTAACTGTACTGGTGACCTCTTTCAAGTATATCAAGGATGTAGTTTATCTAGACTATTGTGAGCACTATATCTTATCGGATGATAGCAGAGAATGTCCTCCAAGTAGGAGAAATGCACAGACAGGCAACAGGAATACTTGAAGATGGCCCCATTTAAAAAAAACTCAAAAGTCTGGAACTGCTTTATGCTTTTCAAAAGAAGATGAATAAGGGAGAAACTAAAGAACTAAAGAGAGCTATACAATGTCTTTCCTACTACACAAGTTTTCAAAGCAGACTTGCATATAAGAGTCAACTTTAAACTGCTTCTGTAATGTAGTGGTGGAAAAGTTGAGTACTTGATGGCTATGACTGTGTTATCAGTTCTAGAATTTCTTATCCTAAATCTCAGAATTATATGAAGAGGAAAAAAAAAAAAAAAAAAAAAAAAAAGTGCTAACTGGTAGACGCATAGTTTTAGTATCTGCTGCTAAGAAATGGTGTGATACATCTTTAGAAGAGTGCATCTTTTAAAATATAAGAAATATACTGACCTTCTTAAGCTCTACATTTGACCTTAAAGAATATGTCTCCATTTCATTGGCCAAATGGTCAGACAGACTGTATGGATAAGGGATGCCAAAATAATCTGCTTCCTCCTGCAATGCAATTTGAATCTGTTTATCCTCAGGAATCCGAACTTCTCCATGAAGATAATCCAAAAGATATTTAAACAAGCTTCCATCTCGATCAATCAGACAGGCTCCTGAAAACATATACATGATGAACTTAAGATGCTGCTTCTAAGATTTCTCGCATTATACCAAATCATCAAGTAAAGCTTTTGTATGAAACTTACTCTCTTTACTTATGTAGAAGTAACTAAGTATATTTTCTCTGTTATTTTAAAACTGCTACTTTGTTTCCATGGAATAATAGGTATTTGAAGATAAAATTCATAGTGAAGAATTTTTTGCTTGTTTGGAATGTCGGTGATATCACTGATGTGCACAGGACCTTGCCAGTATAAATCTCAGCTAAGTGCTTAATATGCTAAAATCTTATTCTAGGAGCATTTCTAGAATTTTTATTTATTTATTTGTTGCTATTGGAGAGCTTTTTTTTTCAATTTTGGATCTAGGCGTAAAAAGCAGCACCAGCTTTTGTATGTATCCAGCCTCAACTAATCTGGATCTTGCTTAAGTTTTACAATTCTGTTTGTTTCTTTCTCTCTTTTGATGCTGGGCTCAATGACCACACAAAATAGCCACTCAAGCTGTACACTGCTGTATATAATATGCTGTTCACTGCAGCTGAAGGATGATAGTAAAACCCTGCTTGCAAAAAGTTTCAAGCATTTCAGATATTCTAAACTGCCAGAAGTGGGCAACAAGAAGTCACTACTGTCTATCCAGCATAGTTTTAGAACTGGGCATACTTTGGCAGTCACTTCCAACTCACAAACAGGGGTGAAATCTGACTCATGAAAAGTTTTATTCAAGTTTTCATATCAAACCATGCTGGTCAAAAATGCAATCTTTAATGGGTACTGAGGCATTCTGAAACAAAGATAAAACCTCAATCTCCCTACATAATGAGCAGATGGAATCGGATGCCTTGGGAGAATATAGGAAGGCATAAATAGGACCCAAGTTAACACTCATACTGTAGTAGTGTATTCGACAATTTTGATTGCAGCAAAGCAGGGCTAAGTGCTGTACAAACATGTATGTTTGCAAACAGAAACGTCCTGTGGAATTCTGATGAAGTACTCATAAGTCATGCACGCATAATTCATGTATTCAAGAAGCTCAGCAAGTTGGAAGAAAAGAGACGCAATAAAGTGGATACATAAAAGCATGTATTTACCACAGAGCTCCCTAGGCGGAATGTTTTAGGTGCAGCTTTAACATATTTACCAGACTCATCCATTTTTAGAGGAAAACGTCCACTAAACATAGAAGCTAGCATGGAGTCCTTAAAGCGGCACAGGGACTGGCGCCTGGCGGTGTACAGACATCCTCGCACGTTCAGCCGTAGGATGCCCTGCTCCTCTGCAGCCTTGTCCTCTTCCATCGCATTTGCAAATGAGATGTTAATTACGAGCTATTCCACACTGTAACAGATACAAAGAAGTGTCAGTCTAATGCTAAGGCCGAAATATTGCACAGAGATCCAAGCATTAGCTCAGCTAACACGCCTGTTGCATAGTGCTGTAATCAGAATCACAAAATTCGAAGTGATGCTTACACCTTCACTATAAACAACGATGACATGTATTTTGCCGGAAAACACGCAGTTACTCTTTTGAGGCATACGGGGGGGCAGATTTGTGGTTAGTACGTGTGAAAGACGCGCTAGAAGGACAGCAACAAAACGCATCCTAGGAACTCTCGGAGAGCCGCCCCGCGCAGGCCCGAGCGCTCCCTCCTGCGCCGGAGCCGCTCCGCGGGAGAGGCACAGCCCACCCAGCCCTCCGCAGCCGCGGGCGCGCACACGCCGGGACGGCGCCTTCCAGCCGCGCGCGGGGCGGCCGCCATCGCGCGTTACCTGCGCCGCCGCCTCCCCGCGGCCGGAGCGGGCCGGGCGCCTCCGGGCCTCCTCGGCTCCGCAAAATGGCGGCAGGAAGGGCCGGGCCGGGGGCGTGCGAGCGGAGCCACCGCGGCATCTCCCGACCGGGGGCACCGCCGGCAGCCCCGACCCGAGCCCGCGGGCAGCAGGCGGCCCGCCGGGCGCGGCTTCGGTGCCTTCGGCCTCCGAAGGGAGGCGTGCATGCGTAAACTCGGCTGCTCTGTAAGGCAGAAACCTTTTTTCTTTTTCATTTTTTTTTTTTAAATCTTAGAGTACGTTGTTAACGCTTTAATATATTTCAAACATCCTGGACAAGTGCAGACTGCTAGGTGCTTCCCGTGCACTCTCATGCGCAACAGCTTAGAGAGAGTGCCCTGCTCAAAGCTGTTCATGGCTGCGGTGCAGTTGCTTGCTGACCAAAATGCTGCATGAACAGACACACAGTGTCAGGTTCTCATGATAAGAGCCTGATATTTGTAAATGCCAAATTAATAATTGTACAAAATGTAGTAGTGCCAAACTGCTGGTTTCCACAAGCTTTCTGGAAAGTACTCGAGCTGCCTGTATGTGTAGAAAAGAGATAAAACTTAGAACATTAACAATTCTTCTAATTGGGACCCGAAGCCCATTAAGAATGCAGTTAGCTTCCCGCTGCACATGCAGGAACACACCCATATCATTTTTAAGCTTTGAGAGCTGTTATAACAGGTCTGTCTTTCCTTCTCTTTCCCTCTCATCCGTACTCAGTTTAAAGGCTGATAATGGGATCTCAAGTGATTGCAAACCAGACTCCTTCTCTATTTAGTGCACGCAGAGTGTAAAGCCTCCCAGCCTTTTAGGCTCTTCCCCCCTTTAAGCAGCTGGTAGCTAACTGAGGATTGTTCACGTGTGAAAAGTTCCTCAGCTGAATGCAAAAGAAAGTAGCACCCAGGTGCTAACACAACACTTATTTTGCTTATTATCAGCAGTTGTGACATAAACACTAGCTGGAGGCAGATTGGGGATTGCTCCTTCAAGAGATGGGACTGCTGTAAAAGTGAATGAAATGAAATCTCATGACTGGAGCTGGGTGAAAATACTGCCTGCTTGAGAGCAGAGGGAGGTGAGTCACAGCAACTTGCCTGACTTTCTGTTGTTACAGTTGCATTATGTTATTTTGTTATTTTCTCAGAATTTACAGTGGCTACAGTTACTCGAAGCTGCTTAGTGAGGGGAAACATACTACAAGTATGTAAGGTGCGCTGGGTCAAGTCTGTGTTTTAAAAGGATTGTGTAGAAGCATGAGGTTATGCAGCTTCAGGACCACACTAAGAAACTGTGCCAAATCTCATTTGGAAATGATGGGAAAAAAATGCATGGGTTATTATTGTTATTATAGTTTCACCTTTCCATGTCTCTGTAAATTTTCAAATAAATTAAAACAGTAACTTTTTTCCCCCTTTTCCCCCCAAACTGTTTACTATGTATGTATTAATGCTTAGGCCAACTGCAGCAATCAGTGTGTCTGCCTGAACTGAGGGCAGAACTAGGCTCACGTGGGGGAAGAGAATGCATGTGAGGGAATATTAAAGCATGTGGGCTGTGCCTTTGGGATCAGAGCAGACTTTGGAGGAAAGCATCTTGCTGGGCTCAAGTACTTCCTTCCATCTGCCAAACCTAACTGTCTGAAATGGATGAGATGAGCCTTGCTCCAGTTGTAACACAGGAGCCTCCTATACGTGCAAGGAGTGTGCACACTCAGTGTCATCTTTCGTTTGCAAATTTGTTGATATCGCTTTGATAACTGCCTTGATACTTGGGTTGTTGCTTCTTCTATTGCAACTCCTTTTAAAGGGACTATTTCACAAAAAAATCCCTATACATAAAGGCCTCTCTTGTATGAAACGCTACTCTGTAATGTAAAGGCTGGCATTTCAAGATCTAATGTAATTCTTTGCTTCAAAACAAAAAGCTGTGATGGGCAGGAACCACCCCGGCAGCATCATTTGTGCTGCAAATGTGCTCCATTCGCGCACAGTCAGATCGCGGAGGCTGTCTGCTTTCCTGAACTGACTGCCTCAGCCCGCGGGCGCGAGGGCGGGCGCGAGGGTTACCCGCCGACGGCCGTTGGGCTCGCGCAGCCGTTGGCCGCCCCTGAGGTGAGGCGGGAGCGCTGCCCCCCGGCGACGAGGACGAGAGCGGCTGAGGGCAGGGCGGCGCGGCGGGACGCGCCTCCTCGGAGCCGCTTGCGGAGCATCGTTCGCTGCTCCAACGGACTTTGCAGCCTGGTCTTTCTTGCTGTGTGCTTCGGTACTTAACACCCGTAACGCGCTTTATTTAAAAAACTTACTTTTAAAACTTGGCCTGACGAAGCTGATTCGGTTGCACTGTCAAGTGATGTAAACTTTTTGCTTTTTTCATCTCTCCCCTGCCCCCTTCACTTTTAAGGGTAAATCTGAAGAGGTAACTTGATGGAATGTATGAAGGTAAAATCTCTCATCCTTGTAGTCTTCATATTTGTTAGTAAAATATCATAATGTGACCTAAATCTTGGATAATCTCCTCATAAAGAGATAATGCGGCCTAAGCTCAAAATTTGTGAACGAAATCATGTGTCATTTGCAGATTCCTCTTGACAGTGTGCATTCCACCTGACAAGGTTCTTTTTGATGATGGATAAACAAGCAACTGCTAAATTATCCACTGCTTTTTCTTTGGGTGCTGTCAGAGGACACAGGAAGAGGGACAGAGCGTTACAAACTGCAAAACTGAACGCTTCTTTGGCATCTAAAATCAAATCTAAATTAATAAGTAAGTCCCGTGAAGCCTTTTACTCTTAGAATGTTGCTTAGAACTTAGAATGTTGCTTAGAACTTAGAATG